CCTCCTCAAATAAGTATAAATCCTCTGTTGTTCACTCTTCTCTTGCCCATGAGCTCACTCCAGCTCATAGGCTCGATATCTCTAAAACCAGCTGTATTGATGTTCGTTGACGTCTAGAAAGTCAAACAAGCATGGCCTTATCAGTCGGTCGGCCAGCGAAGCAAGTGTGAAAATCAGAGCTTTTGTTGTTTGTAGCGCTTATCATATGAACAGTCAATGTGGACAGAAAAATGCATAGAACAGGTGGAATTCTCGTCAGATACAAACTGCCGTTTGATGGCCCAAAAGCACCGAGAACTTAAGGATTGTGACAAGGATGAGCCTACTTGACTCCACTTCCGTTGATTAAATTCATAAGACAATCATCCAGGCTGGAAGGCTTTGCATTCTCCAACAACTAGCTCGTACCAGGTTAAATAATATGAGCTCAAAACACTTATTATGACGATTCAAAAGTGAAAATGATTTCACTCCCATACAACGAAAACTGGCAAACTAGTGGGTAGGGTGAAACATTACAATAATCTGAGAGATTCAACCCGGTTATCGTAGGCAACGGGACGTAGAAAATATGGACGAACTAGAGAAAAAGAAAAAGACCAAAGTTGAGTTGAAGGAGACAGCCCCAACCAGCCGACATATTACCCCACGCGCTGATTCGAGAATCGATTTCTAGATCGTAACTTGCTCAGTCCAACAAAGTTTTCTGATATATGTACAAGATCTGTTGATTTAAATCGAACTCGTTGAGAAGGACATAAGCTCTGGCTTGCTATGGTAAATTCCCTCCGGGAGGTCTTCAAGTCTGGACTGAAGTTCATCCACCAGGTGATCGCCCGTTTTGAGTGAGACAAAAGCCAGGAATACAAGTATTTATTATGAGTGTTACAACATGATATACAGAATAAATACATACAAAGGGAGAACCATAAAATTAGCGACCATAGACTGATGAATCCTAGTCGGTATATTGGTTGCCACCAAGCAACCTCTAATTGGTAAGCTCTTGTTCTAGAAGTGCAACGAATCAGTTTTGCCCAGGCTATTCATTCATCCGCATGTGATATTGTCCAAATTTGGTAGCGAGCTTCTTGAAAAATGTTTATTACTTTATGAAAGCCCCACTCACAGATTTCTTCAATGTGTGCACATGAACAGACGCTTACACCTCTCTACGCCGAGGTAATCATTAAAATGACTCATCCAAACATTTTTATTCTACTTGTTCTTCTTTTCTAAGTTCTTTATTTCGGTCATGAAAGAGGAAAATATCGTCGAGAAGGCATCCGGTTTTTTCCATAGCAATGCCCATACGCTGAAAGGATGTAAGGATACCATCATCAAGGGAGGATCACAATGAAAAGCAAGTTCCGGTACCTTCTTTCTCGAGTCCTCATCAGATGTTTCGGATAACACCTGGAAG